GGCAGTAGGGAAAGGAGGTCCCTGGGCACTGCCTATGATGCCCAGTCACAGGGCCGGCTTGAGTCAGCGAGGCACAAGGACCTGATGCACCGTCCCCGAGCCTGTGGGACCAGCCACCAGTGCCTGCCAGGGGTGGGGCTAGGCCAGGAGCCGGGAGGGTCAGAGCAGGAGTGAGCATCTTAGGACAGGCCGCTGCCAGTCTTTCCTCCGAGGGACTCCCACTGCTGGAGCGCACCTGCCATGCTGACCCCACTTCCGACAGGGTTAAACAGGCTTCCAAGAGCCCCGCCTGACAGCCCAGGGTGGAGCTGGACCCACAGCCCATCTTCCCTGCCGAGCTCCCAGCAGCTGTATTCTGTGGGCAGAGAGGGCCTTGCGGGAGCTGCCTGCAGCAGCCGGTCGCCCTGAGCTGAAGGGAGGGGTGGAGCAGAGGACTGTCAAGAGGAAGTCGCCGGCCACTCAGTGCAGGGCCGTGCGAGGCGTAAAGGAGTGGATACGTGGCCAGTATTCCAGAACATTCTGTGTGATTCACTGGGCCTCACACACAGACGCTCCTGTGAACAAACGAGGGTGGATTTTTCACTAAGGGGCTGCAGGCGCGGTTGCCACCAGGGCTTCTCCCAGAATTTGAACCTGCAGCCGAGCTGGGCCACCGGCCAAATGCATGCAGCACCAGGCTTCCGCCAGCCTGTCAGGTCATGGTCAGAGGCACGCCATCGCTAGTTGTCAGGCCAAAAGACAGCCCCATCGAAGGCAGACGACGGCTGGGATGCTCACAGAGGTCTGACACCCCTTAGCGGGGTTGGGTGGGACACCGATCCACGGTCACGCACACTCAATGTGCAAACCGAAACAGCCTCTCGTGGCCATTAGATCACCCCCAACTCAGGACGCCCCTGCGTGGGCAGCGCAAAACTGCTGTGTCGGGTCTCTAGGCTTGGGCTTTTCCAATGCAGGTCGCTCGGACCGCCAAACCTTCACCTAGCCGTGGGTGCCCCGCAGGGCCTCTTGGGACAGAACAATGTGCAGGTGCGGGCCTGCAGAACTCTGCCTTCCCACTACACAGGGACCTACTCCGGGTGACCCTGAACATCTGGAGAAGGCAAACACTGCGCCCTAAGCACCTTCTCCACAGACCTGCAGGTTCTTACCAGCAAGGGTGCCTAGCCCCTCGCCCCCCAGGACAGCTGGAGCCATGTCCACTGCAGGTGGGCGGGGCCTGGGTTGTGTGGAAACTGGGTGCCTCTCTGGAGAGCTGCCTTCCAGGGGACCCGACTGGTACAAGCGGGAACCCCCCTGGCTTTTAGGTCGAGAGTGCTTTAAAAGGGAAGCCTGCAATCTTCAAAAAAATGTCGGCGCCTCCAATCCTGCTGAGCGCACCTCTGATCTGC